TGTGGCCTGCACTGTGCAGGGGGTCAGACTAGATGATCAGAATGGTCCCTTCTGACTTGAAAGACTATGAAGTTAGTAAACCGAGCTCGGTGACGTTTCACACGAGTGTGGCCTTGCTCTGTCCAAGATAATTCATACTTGCGATGCTCTCTGCAGACGCTTCATGTCCTTTGGAAACACAGTGGAGTATGAGAAGACACCATCTTTGTCACCTCAAACACCTTCCTTTAGGCAAGAGTCGCATCCACGCCAGCCAAGAATGCTCAGTCTACTTGTAAGTAACAGGACGCTCCCAGACAGCTCTTGTGGACTCAGGTTCAAATGATGGAAAATGCCAGCTGACAGCTGAGCCCACGTGCCCTGGTGAAAGCTCCTACTCTTTGAAACATTAAAAAGGCCGTAGAGCAATTTTTAAACTAAGAGACGGAGGAAAGCAGATTGGTGCGGAGAAGCACATAAATCGGAGGGAGACTTCTCTTAGAGGAGAATCCATTAATAGAGATTCTCTAAGCTGTAGTCAGAAAGAGAGGAGGGGCAAACAACCGCATACAAAGGAATCCAATGCATCAGGGAAGGGCAGACAAATAAGCAGTGGCAAATTTTTAAAGTGCTTGTACACAAATGCTAGGAGTCTGACTAATAAGATGGGTGAACTAGAGTACCTCATATTAAAGGAGGAGTTGACATAATAGGCATCACTGAAACCTGGTGGAATGAGGAAAATCTGTGGGACACAATCATACTGGGATATAAAATATATCGGAAGGATAGAGCAGGCCGGGTGGGTGGCGGAGTGGCACTGTATGTGAAAGATAACGTGGAATCAAATGAAATAAAAATCTTAAATGAATCAACATGTTCAATAGAATCACTATGGCCAGTAATTCCATGCTCCAATAATAATAATATAGCAGTAGGGATATATTACTGACCACCTAACCACAGGACAGTGATACTGACATTGAAATTCTGAGGGAGATTAGAGAGGCTACCAAAATAAAAAACTCTATAATAATGGGGGATTTCAATTATCCCCATACTGACTGGGTACATGTCACCTCAGGAAGAGATGCAGAGATAAAATTTCTCAATGGCTTAAATGACTGCTTCTTGGAGCAGCTGGTGCAGGAACCCACAAGGAGAGAGGCAATTCACAATTTAGTCCTGAGTGGAGTGCAGGTTCAGGTCCAGGAGGTAACTATTACAGGACCACTTGGGACAACAATATAATAACATTTAACATTCCTGTGGTGGGAAGAACACCTCAGCAGTCCAGCACCCTGGCATTTAATTTCAAAAAGGGGAATTACACAAAAATGAGGAGGTTAGTTAAACAGAAATTAAAAGGCACAGTGACTAGAGCCAAATCCCTGCAAGCTGCATGGAAACTTTTTAAAGACACCATAATAGAGGCCCAACTTAAATGTATACCCCAAATTAAAAAACATAGTAAGAGACCTAAAAGAGAGTCACCGTGACTTAGAAGAAACACTGAGGGACAAAAAGGTATCTTTCAAGAAGTGGAAGTCCAATCCTAGTGAGATAAATAGAAAGGAACATAAACCATGTCAAATCAAGTGTAAAAATGTAATAAGAAAAGCAAAAAGATTTTGAGGAACAGCTAGCCAAAAACTCAAAAAGCAATAGCAAAATGTTTTTTAAGTACATTAGAAGCAGGAAGCCTGCTAAAAAACCAGTGGGTCCCAAAGACGATCGAGATACAAAAGGAGCAATCAAGGACTATAAAGCCATTGCGGAGAAACTAAATGATTTCTTTGCTTCTGTCTTCACGGCTGGGCATGTTAGGGAGATTCCCAAATCTGTACCATCCTTTGGGGGTGATGAATCTGAGGAACTGTCCTGGATTGAAGTATCATTAGAGGAAGTTTTGGCACAAATAGAAAAACTTAACGTTAACAAATCTCCGGGACCGGATGGCATTCATTCAAGGGTTCTAAAAGAACTCAAATGAGAAATTGCTGAGCTATTATCTGTGGTTTGTAATCTCTCCTTTAAATCAGCTTCCATACCTAATGACTGGAAGGTAGCTAACGTGACTCCAATATTTAAAAAGGGCTCTAGAAGCAATCACAGACCGGAAAGTCTAACTTTAGTACCGGGCAAATTAGTCAAAACAATAGTAAAGAATAAAATTGTCAGGCACGTAGAAGAACATAATTTGTTGGACAAAAATCAACATGGTTTCTGTAAAGGGAAATCATGTCTTACTAATCTATTAGAGTTCTTTGAAGGGGTTAACAAACATGCAGACAAGGGGAAATCCAGTAGATATAGTAAACTTAGATTTTCACAAAGCCTTTGACAAAGTCACTGACCAAAGGCTCTTGCGTAAATTACATTGTCATGAGATAAGAGGGAAGGTCCTTTCATGGATTGAGAACTAGTTAAAAGACAGGAAACAAAGGGTAGGAATAAATGGTAAATTTTCAAAATGGAAAGTGGTAACTAATGGTGTCCCCCAAGGGTCAGTCCTGGGACCAATCCTGTTCAACTTATTCATAAATGATCTGGAGAAAGGGGTAAGCAGTGAGGTAGTAAAGTTTGCAGATGATACCAAACTGTTTAGGACAGTCAAGACAGAAGCAGACTGTGAAGTTCAAAAAGATCTCACCAAACTGAGTTATTGGGCAACAAAATGGCAAATGAAATTTAATGTGGATAAATGTAAAGTAATGTACGTTGGAAAAGATAACCCCAACTATACGGGCAGTATGATGGGGGCTAATTTGGCTACAACAAATCAGGAAAGAGATGTTGGAGTTATCGTGGACAGTTCTCTGAAAGCTTCCACAGTGTGCTGCGGTGGTCAAAAAGGCAAATAGGATGTTTGGAATTATTAATAGTGACTGAAATGTAGCCATGTTAGCCTGGTCTAGCTGAAACAAAAAACAGGACTGTGTAGCACTTTAAAGACTAACAAGATGGTTTAATAGGTGATGAGCTTGTGTGGGCCAGACCCACTTCCTCAGATCAAGTAGTGGAAGAAAATTAGCAAGACCATATATACCAAAGGATACAATAAAAAAAATGAACACACATGAAAAAGGACAAATCTAATTTCAGAACAGAAGCGTGGGGGGGGGGGGAGGTAAATGTCTGTGAGCTAATGACATGAGAGGTGATAATTGGGGAAGCTATCTTTATAATGGGTAAGGTAATTAGTGTCTTTGTTAAGACCTAGGTGTAAAGTGTCAAATTTAAGCATGAATGACAGTTCAGAGGATTCTTTCAAGTTTGGTGTTAAAAGGTCTTTGAAGCAGGATGCAGGTAACCAAGTCGTTTCTGGTTGAAATGGCAAGAAACTGTTTTTTCTTTGTGATCCTGTCTAATATCTGTTTTGTGGTCATTGATCCTTTGGCAAAGTGTCTGAGACATTTGTCCAATGTACATAGCAGACAGACACTTTCAGCACATGATAGCATAAATTATATTTCTGGATGCACAGGAATATGTGTTCTTGATCTTATAACTCACTTAGTTATAACTCTGAACTGTCATTCATGCTTAAATTTGACACTATTCAAACTTAGGTGTAAAAAGACGCTAATTATCTTACCCATTACAATGATAGCTTCCCCAATTATCACCTCTCATGTCATTAGCTCACAGACATTTACCTCCCCCCCCCCCCCCCCCCCCCCCCTCCCTCCTCTTCTCTGTCTTTTTTTTTTTATCCTTTGGTATATATGGTCTTGCTAATTTTCTTCCACTACTTGATCTGAGGAAGTGGGTCTGGCCCACACAAGCTCATCACCTATTAAACCATCTTGTTAGTCTTTAAAGTGCTACACAGTCCTGTTTTTTGTTTCAGCTGAAATTAAGAAAGGGATAGAAAATAAGACACAGAATATCTTACTGCCTCTGAATAAATCTATGGTATGCCCACATCCTTGAATACTGTGTACAGATGTGGTCTCCTCACCTCAAAAAAGATATTTTGGCCTTGGAAAGGGTTCAGAAAAGGGCAACTAAAATGATCAGGGGTTTGGAACAGGTCCCATATGAAGAGAGGCTAAAGCGACTGGGACTTTTCAGTTTAGAAAAGAGGAGATTGATGGGGGATGTGATAGAGGTCTATAAAATCACGAGTGGTGTGGAGAGGGTGAATAAAGAAAAGTTATTTATTAGTTCCCATAATATAAGGACTAGAGGACACCAAATGAAATTACTGGGTAGCAGGTTTAAAACTAATAAGCGAAAGTTCTTCTTCACACAGCGCATAGTCAACCCAGCTGTTTGTCGGCTCAGCGCTGTAGTCTGGATGCTCCGTGGTCAACATCAAAGACATTTGTGGACCTCCCAGGTAAACCTGAGCCCAGGGGGCATACCTGGTAGATTGACAAATGCCTTGGATGTCAACCGTGGAGCATCCAGACTACAGCGCTGAGCTGACAAACAGCTGATCGGGTCAGCGCGGCAGCCGTTTAAATTTAAATGAAGCGGCGATTATTTAAATCGCTGCTTCATTTTCCTATGCCAGGTAGCCTAACCTACATGCCTCTGTAGCCAGAGGCATTTAGTCTAGACGTAACCTAAATTAAATTAATAGGTAGCAGGTTTAAGAAAGTTCTTCTTCACACAGCGCATAGTCAACCTGTGGAACTCCTTGCCAGAGGAGGCTGTGAAGGCTAGGACTAGAACAGAGTTTAAAGAGAAGCTAGATAATTTCATGGAGGTTAGGTCCATAAAAGGCTATTAGCCAGGGGGTAGAAATGGTGTCCCTGGCCTCTGTTTGTCACAGGCGGGAGATGGATGGCACAAGACAAATTGCATGATCACTGTCTTCGGTCCACCGCTTCTGGGGCACCTGATGGTGGCCACTGTCGGTAGACAGGATACCAGGCTAGATGGACCTTTGGTCTGACCTAGTACGGCCGTTCTTATATTCTTATGATAAGTGCTGGTTTTCAAAAAACCCCATCACCATTGGCAACAGACATTCCCCTTTGTAGAAACAACAAACACGCAGCACGACTGCATTGCCTGAAGAGGATTTATTTACACAGCTCAGCAGAACGTCAACATCATCCCACAGAAACACGGACGTTGCGTTTCCCCCTGCTGAGACCCCAGCCCTGGACAGCGCACGCCTGCCACCCGCTACAATGCGGTGCACGGCCGTGCACCTTCACAGCAGCTTTTCCACAGGGACTTTAAGGCAGAGTTGGGACACAGTGATAAGTGACACTGGGAGAGAGGCGCCAGCAGCATCACAGAACAGTCACACGCAATAGGCCATTTTACAGTGCAAGTCCTTCTCCTGCAGGTCTAGCTGGGAAAGTACCAGGCCTGCTCCTTGGCAACCCTCATGTGCTCACAGCTTTACACAAAGGCCCAGGGCATCGCCACCGCCTGCCGCCATTTCTCAGCTCGCGAGAACACGCCCAGGCTGCTCACTTGCTAACGCCAGACACGTTTTCTCTAGCCGCACAAGGACAAGGCTCTGACTCTGCTAGCAGAGGCTGCTCTTTTCCTACTGCTGCTAACAACGCCCGGCACAAAGGGCACGGCTGTGATGCCATTGTTGTAAAGGGAAAATTGCCACAGTTGACACTTGGGGGAGATTTCAAAGTCGCTGACCATTGACAGAAGCTAGGCGCCTACGGCTCAGTCAGTCCATTCCAGCACCGTGTGAGCCGCCTCCAGCCCGGGGAGCCCGTTTCCACAGGCACGTCAGCGCGGGAACTTGCTGCAGTTGGGGGAGGGGAAGGGTTCACATCCCCTGGGTGGGAAGTGGCCATGTAGAGGTGGCCTAAGGCACTTGTGCCTTGGAAGATCTCCGCCCTTCCACTCAAGGACTACGCTGGGCAGCGCCCAAGCGAGGGTCACTTCAGAAATCAAACGTGCACCAGTGTTCCAGTCTTGTAGATACGCTGTCCGAGCGCCCTGCTGCACCCATGCAGCTCTCTCCTCGGTATTTGTACAAACACCATCCCTTCCGCCTACAACCGGCGCATCAGGCAGCTGCCAGCTAGCCATCTCAAAAACCCTTGTTCCAACACCGAGAGTTTGAGGGGTTCTCGTCTATCATCACGATTTAAGGAAGCAAATGAGCTGGATATCTGTCAGGAATTGCAAAACACTTTTCAATAGTTAAAAGTGCCAAGAGCTCCTAATTTCCCAAGAACAGTTTATAAGGCAACATTTTCAAATGGGGGAGGGACAGAGCTATCCTACCACATCAAAACATTTTATAAGCAGTATTAAAGGATGCTTTGCTGACTGGCAAATAAAGACCCTAACTGATAGATATCTATTATTTTATTTTGCATAAGTCGTCCTATGAATAATCCCCCATGTCCAAAGATCATTGTTGTCAGAGTAAAAAACTACTCTCAAATGAAGGACTGAGTGGCAGAATTTAGTATTTACACATTGCTTACAGCAATGCACTGAACCAGTTCCTACCACGCAGAAATACAACAGCACAGACTGTGGTTTCTGGACAGTCATTAATAGCTCCAGCACTTACTGAGAGACAGTGTGTTACCAAGTTGTCACTAACAAGCTTACTTAACCCATTAGGTATAATACATGTGCTCGCATCAAACTTTCATTCGATCTTTACTCTGTGACCCCTCCGTCTAAGACAATCAGTGGATCATTCCCTAGTGCAGCCATTCAACATGCGATTCCATGACACTCCCAGGTCACCTGGAGACACTGATCTCACTTTTCCAAACAGTTGTTTTCCATGTTCAGCAACATCAGTGTCGAGTAGCAGGCCCTTACACTGGTCAGACTGATATGCGCTGGTTACAAAAACACTGAAGACTGGCACCAGGTGGGGCTGGGGCTGTTCCTTTCGCGTGCTGCTAGGAACACATCGATTGCACCTCTTTTTTAGCTAACTAAATGGCGTTCCTGCACATGAAAAAGAATCCTCCAAATTAGTCTGACCCAGTTCAATAGCTCAGAGACATTTGGACAAGGGAAGGCACTTTGGGGCTCTCGTGCATCCTAATTACATGGGAACATGCTTTCATTAACTACATCAGGCAACAGTCAGAGACATGGCAGGACCTACGTCCCAGATGCTGAGTGCACGCCGTGTCTTAGCCATGCCGTGGAGAGGGACTTGGAACTACTTAGGCCACTGTCAGGATCAGCAGAGGAGCCCTAGACAGAATTTGACACCATTGCCATAACTTGCTGCTTGACGCTACTGCACACCATCAGCAAGTCAGCAGCAGCGTCTCTGAAGCTGATCGAAGCCCGTAGCTGTTAGAAGTGACCATGAGATGACAGCAGCAAGTACAGAAAACCCCATGTCCTGCCCCGTTATACTCAGGATGCTCATCCCCAGAGCAAATGGATTTCCCTCCCCAACTCCTCCAAGACCACCGCCACCCCCCTCCTTTTCCAGGCTGGCTCCTGTTATCGGCTAGGTTTCTACTCCTCGACAACAGCCACTGGTCTGCGCGGAGGTTCTTCGCCACAACACTTGAATGTTGTTCACGTCCATGGAGCAAGTTCCACCAGGAGTGGCCTGTTTCTCTTGTCACTTCTCAGGAAAAGCACAAAGTGCTACACCACTTTTTTTTTAATGTAGAAAAATATTTAATGGCTTGAGGGTCATCATCTTAGTACCAAAAGTAAAGTGCACGACAGCTGGAGGCTACCGATTGAGCTGAAAAATGCTCTTCACAAGGTTTTTGAGTAGCATTGTAAAAAAATAGCACTACAAACCTACACTTAAGGCAATACACGTTTTGTTTTTCTACTAGATAAGTTACTGGACAGTTTTGTGCCTCTCAAGCTTTAATTATTGCTTTATTTCCTGTGCTATAGTTCTTAGCATTAGGAAAACAGTGCTGGCAGCCCTGGCAGATTGAGTAGATCGCTCAACCCTGGACTGGTGAACTAGTCTGTAAATACCAGGTGCTTTGGGATGTTAGAAAGTAAAGGCTTTCTTCTCTCTCGCCTCCTGCTCTAATGGACTGGACCATCCGGCAAGGAACTGAATGTGAAAGAGACGGACTTGCTCCCGAAGCAGGAAAAAATATCCGCCTGCATCAGAGGTGACAGGAGAGTTCGTGGATGTTTTCAGTGGAGCAGAAGAAACAAATCCAAGTAAATAACAATGGTGTGTAATATACGGGGTCCTGGAGAACTCTTCAGAGTTCATAGCCCTCAGGAAAGGGCATAATCCCAGTACAGAGAAGCATGCTCCAAGGCTCAGAAAGAGTTCCAGGGCTCTACTTCCCTGCTTTCATGTACGATGGTATCGCCCCTCGGGCCGTCAGCCCCTCGAATCGTTTGTAGGTATAATTGATAAAGACCCAGTCTTTGTTCTTGTAGTCACTCTCTGGATGGTTACTTGTGGCCACTGGAAGACAAAGGGATACAAGGATTAGCTTCTATAGGTAGAACCTCTCAAATCTGGCAACATCCATGTTCCGGCATGATTTTACTTAACCGGATGTCCATTCATGGGTGCGGCCAAGTTTCCCGCAGTTACAGCCCCCAGCCCTGGCTCTTTGTCGCGCACTGTTCTTTAGCTCTAATTGACCCCACACGCCGTCTCAGAGCCCACCAGCAGCAGCAATGCTGGTGATGTTGCTAGGCAACAGTGCTTTGGCAAACTCTTGTTTGGCACTGGCCTGGCCCCGGGGGTTCCGCACTGGAGAAGTTCATCCTACAGACTCATTATACGGGCCCCGGACAAAACTGCTGGTGGGAAAATCCTGTTTCCTGGTTTTCAGTTCTGGACAAAAGGGAACTGGTGCAGTCCGCTCCAGAAGGGGCAACACAGACTAAGCTGTGGGCTGCTGCCGCTGAATTTGCCTTCGCGTCCCATCTGCTGCCAATGGGAGCAGTGGAGAGTGGCGCAGACCGAGACGCCGCTTCCCGCCACTCCCACGGTCCGAACAATCTGCAGCCAACAGAAGCCACGCTCACCCCATTCCTGCAGCGGCGCAGGTAACCATACAGGGGGCCCACCAGAGACCAACCCTGCAGACTGGATCCAGCCCTGGGCTGTCACTTGCCCACCCTTGGTCTCCAGTGTATTAAAACCTCCCATGTTCACAAAGGCCCAAGTCTTGCTCCAACGACGCAACGCCTGGTGGAACGGATTGAACAATGTGCCCCGAGAAGCACTGCCACACCCCAGCTATGCTTTGCCAGGGCAGTGCCGCGGGTCTTACTGGGGCAGACGAGGAGGGCTTTTTAACCCTTTATACGAAACACATGGGTACAGCTCTCAATGGCACTTCCAGGAGGGCTTGTGGGTTTAGAGCTGAACTTCCCGCAAATTATCCTACCTCTAGCTATTGCACCAAACACAGAGGCTGCTCCCACAAGCCCTCACCTCCCGGCAAAGCCAATGCAAGTTCGGTGTGTGAAGGACCTGCAGGACTGGGCTCACACTTTGTCAAAGTTCCCATTCACCATTCCCCCAAGGGGACTGAGGGCTTCTCACCAAGCTGCTATCAGAACAGGAAGCCTAGTTATCTGAAAGAGTGACGAGATGAAGGGGAGCTATTTACCTGTTGGTTTCAGGATATCCGATTCGGGGAATTCGTCAAAGTTGGAGGTGTCATCAATGCTTTTAATTTCTATTGATATTGCAGCAGGTCTCTCTCTGCCAAGAGCAACAATCTCAACATTAGCTTAAGGCAGGCAAGGAATCTGTTCCATTTCTACAGGGACTGGGAACATCTGGGTATGCCTGAACCTCAGGGAAGTTCGGGGCAGGCTCTGAACTTCATTACTGCCAGGCACGCCTGTTCCCTGCATGCTCAAGTCAGAGCTGCTCATTCTACTGCCACAGCCTGTAGCAGCACTTCTGACAAACTTCACAGTCCAATGTAATTAGACCACTGGGCTGGAAAACTGAATGACGCCTAGCTTCCCGGAGGAGGCTGAAGTGTCTGGCAACGTCTTACCTGATGTGCTCCCAGTCGACCTCTTCAAAGAAAGGGTTACCCTTGATTTCTTCAACACCAGGTGCACCGATTCTGTGCTCCCATTCACAGCAAAATCTGTGAAAGGATGTATGAAAATAGCAACGTGTTCTATTTAGAAACGGAGTCATTTTGAACCCAAGTTAGAATTTACGTTTCAGAAACTGTACCACAATGATACGGATGAGAGCTCTTATTTCAAGAGCAGTGCAGGCTCTGTGTTAAGGAATGTTAAATGTAAATTCCCTATATTTTATCCCAGGCTTGCCCTTTTGCCCAAGACCAGCAGAGGACAACAGTACACACAAAGCATGTCCGTTTCACTTATGGATTGGGACCAGACTAAAAGCTCTGGAGAAACATTAGGTACACAGGTAAGACTAAAGAGCAAAACAACTGCACGTTCTCTTTGAAAAGCCCAGCTAAGTTTATAAACCAAACTCTGAACGCCAGTGTTTTCAGACGCCCCTGCCCATTGTTGACGATGTTGGGCCCAGGACAAAGTTTGAGGAGGGTGGGAGGGAATGTATTCCTGGAGCGGAGTCTGGGTGGTGACAGCATCTCGTGAAAGCACAAAGGCTGACAGGAAGCGTGACAGGAGTTTGTCTGGAAAGACTGTTCAATTCCCAAGGGAACTTAGATCACTCATGAGAAGCGTCTCAACTGCACAGCACGGAAAAGCAGCAATTCTGACCCGCTGCCCTAAGCAGCGTGAGCCTCTGGCAAAGACTTCCTCTGCCGGCCTGCCCAGAAAAGGTGCCTACAGCCGAAGAACAACTCAACATGCTCAGTCTGTGCTTCCTTCAAGTGGAGATTCGGTTTCTGCAGCAGTCAGAGGCACAGGAAATAAGGGGCCAGGGCACAGGGGAGGCAAGAGAGCTAGGAGATGATGTGCTCCCAAACAAACTTTCTACAAAAGCCTCCGCTGCTGTAGCTGTTTAAGGGTTCCAATTTAAATGACAATGAAGCAGCCTGAATCTGAGAAGACATTCCGTTAGCCATCTTCCCAGTCAGTGGATCGGGGACAACTGTCTCACCTCACGCTACAAAGCACCAGTGCTCTTGCCGGACACGGTGTACGAGGGAGCTTTCATGCAGCGCGGACCATAAGAAACTTCGTGACATCAGACCCCACGCTCAGCACTTGGGCAGCTGCAGCCACTGACTTACTGGTACCTTAGAATAAGATCCTTTGCTTTCTCAGAGACTGGGACTTCGGGGGGGAATGTCAGAGTCTCTTTCCAGTTCATCACTTTCTTATACGTTTCTTGAGGGGTCTCAGAACAGAAAGGGGGATAACCTGAAAGAGAAAAGGCATTTCAGGGTAATGTGACTACGACGCTTCAATGGCACTTAGAGCTACCAAGGAAGCAACCGGGGAGAACTGCATTTGGATTACAAGACAGAAGTTTTAAAAAATGCAGGTGAACAGCAAACTGAAGACGATTAGACAAAGGGAAAAAGGACACAAACATTCTGGTGCGTCAACACAGATAAACCAAGCCATGAAAAAGTGAGCGCTGACACTGCTACTGCGCGGGGGGAATTTCACACCACCCCTAGGTTTGTGCGTTGCTTGTGCTTACCGATCAGCATCTCGTACATGATGACCCCAAGCGACCACCAGTCACAGAGCTTGTTGTAACCCGTCTGCATGAAGACTTCAGGCGCGATGTAGTCTGGAGTTCCCACAGTGGAAAAGGCCTGAAACGGAACAGCTGCAGTTACACGTTTTGAGAGCTCCCGCCTATGGAAATGAGGGTTTGCACTAGCGGAATACTTTGTGGTCGATGCTAGGACATAAGGGAACTTGCAAAGCAAAGTTGTGCCCTTCCTTCAAGATGGGAATGACAGAATCAATGTGCTAGTCCTTCCTCGTTAGCAGTCTTGGACATCCCTCTTTTTCCTGAAGGACTGGAATCTTCACCCGACCAGAGGTCTTGAAGAGAATACGCACACAAGACTTATTCAAGCCAAAAGAGGATTCCTGATCTGTAGGCAAGATCTCTCCTGCTACCAGGGTACCAGTCCAGTGCCAGCAGTAACACACTACCGCAGGGGAAGAGCGCAAAGCCTATAAAATGCTGCGGCTCTGTTTTTAGAGACGATTTACCTTTAGAAACCTTTTCATTGAGATTAAGATAGACACAGCACAGTGTCAAGCTCTTTCCCCACTTCCCTTTGGATGCAACAAAGCCAGATAGTGACGAGGATGAGAACAGGTAACTTACCTGGCAAGCATCACTGGGGAACAGTTAACAGTTACCCATGAGCAGCCCCCTGCCCGGGGGCTGACGGGTCCGGCCTGCCCCCATTTAATCAGTTAATATTTCACCAGTTACTGATTATACGGGATTTTGCATCCCTAACAGTGACCAATAACTGCAATGCATATTGCAGGATAGTCCTAGTTCACACTGGAGACTTTGGCTTGTTCCTCTAGCATTAATGCTGCAAACTAGCATGTGATGAATGCAAATCTAATCCTGAAGATTCTCTGCCAGATCTAGTTAGGCTTGGGGCTGTAAGTAAGGCTACAAGTCTGCCATGGAGGTTAGTTTCTGTGACTTGCAGGGACTTCTATGACCCATGAGGGAAGGCTGAAAAAATTGGGTTCGTTTAGTTTAGAAAAGAGAAGATTGAGAGGGGACATGATAGCAGTTTTCAGGTATCTAAAAGGGTGTCATAAGGAGGAGGGAGAAAACTTGTTCATCTTGGCCTCTGAGGATAGAACAAGAAGCAATGGGCTTAAACTGCAGCAAGGGAGGTTTAGGTTGGACATTAGAAAAAAGTTCCTGTCAGGGTGGTCAAACACTGGAATAAATTGCCCAGGGAGGTTGTGGAATCCCCATCTCTGGAGATATTTAAGAGTAGGTTAGATAAATGTCTATCAGGGATGGTCTAGATAGTACTGGGTCCTGCCATGAGGGCAGGGGTCTGGACTCGATGGCCTCTCAAGGTCCCTTCCAGTCCTAGTCTTCTATGATTCTATGTTATTGTTTGTGAAATCTTCACAGTGAAAGTCACAGCTATATGCCTCAACCTGCTTTTTCCATTTCTCTTAAGGCCTCACAGTCTGGCTATGGGCTAACAGTCTGCCCAGGAGTAATGTTACCTTGGAAGTGGCAAAGAACTTGGCTAGTTTAGCCATAACGGCACCAGAAAAAGCATCGAGCCTTGATAGCTCTCTAGCTTAATTGGAAAAGTCAGCAGCATACTACAGATCAACAAGCTAGAATGAATTCTCCCGTTTGAAGCCCAGCTGTACAGATTTCAAACAAACCAACCAACCAACCACACTAATTAGCTCTCGGAGTCAAAGGAGAACACAGGCAGAGCCCAGCAGCAGGGTAGGGGCTCTCCAGTTTATTGTACCCAATGGGGGAGTCAATTATTAGATACACAGAAAGCTGTGTTTGCGGGGAGCGGAAGAACCGTGTGGTGACTTGCCTGGTGCGAAGGCTGTGGGTCTCTCAACACACCTACTGAGCCTGATGGGTAGTGGGGGGGGAGGAGCCTGCGGTCTTGGTACACATAGCAACCAATGAGAGGGAAGGATGGGAGAGAGACCCTGGAGGCCACACTTAGGCTGCTAGGAAACAGACTGAAATGCAGGGCCCCTATGGGAGCGTTCTCTGCACTGCTTCCAGTTCCACACGCAGGGCCCCGGGGCAGGCAGAACTGCAGGAGGGGTTTAGATTGAGTAGGAAGTGGGGAAACTTTGGGGAAAGGAGGAGCCTGTCCAGGAAGGTTGGGCTTCCCCTAAATCACAATGGCACCAGATTGTTGGCACTTAACATTACATTCGTTTAAAAACTAAGAGCTGAAGGAAAGCCGACAGGTGCAAAGGAGCACGTGGGACAGACAGACAATCCTTACGGGAGGATCTATTAATATTCTTTATGTCCTAGTAAATAGGAGAGGATGGAAGATAAGAGATGGGTAAGATCCCATGACAAATAAATAGTCAAATGAAGAAGAGTCCCATTCAATCACATCAAGAAATGGCAGGCCAGTAAACAGTAACAAGTTTTTAAAGTGCTTAATACAAAGGTTAGAGGTCTAAACAATAAGTCGGGGGAACTAGAGTGCCTCGTATTGAATGAGGATATCGATCCAATTGGCATCACAGAAACGTGGTGGAATGAAGAGTCAATGGGACACAGTCACACCAGGGTACAAAACACATCGGAAGGACAGACCAGGTTGTGCTGGTGGGGAATGGCACTATAGGACAAAGAAAGAGTAGAATCAAATGAAGTAAAAATCTTCAGTGAATCAAACTGTTCCGCGGAATCTCTGTGGACAGTAATTCCATTCTCCAATACTATGAATATAGCAGTGGGATGTATTACCAACCACCTGACCCGGATAGGGATAGAGACTGTGTAATGCTAAGGGAGATTAGAGACGCAATCAAATAAAAAAAGCTCTGTAGTAGCAGAGAATTTCAACTATCCCGTATCGACTGGGTACACATCACCTCGGGACAGGATGCAGAGATAACGTTTCTTGACACCCTAAATGACTGTGTCTTGGAGCAGCTGGTTATGGAACCCACAAGGAAAGAGGCAATTTTTGATTTGTCCGAAGTCAAGCACAGGATATGGTCCATGAGAACCGCTTGGAAACAGTGACAATAATGTAATAACATTTAACATTCCTGTGGTGGGGAAAACACCTCAGCAGCCCAGCACTGTGGCATTTAATTTCAGAAAGGGGAACTACACAAAACTGAGAAGGGTAGTTAAACAGAAATTAAAAGGTGCAGTGACAAAAGTAAAATCTTTGCAAGCTGCATGCACGCTTTTCAAAGACACCATAGAGGCTCATCTTAAAGGTATACCCCAAATTTTAAAAACACTAAGAGAATGAAACAAGTGCCACCGTGGCTTAACACCACAAGAAGCCATGAGAGAGATAAAGAAATCATTTAAAAAGCGGAAGCTACATTCTAGTGAGGAAAATAGAAACTATCAAATGAAGTGTAAAAATATAAATTAGGAAGGTCAAAAAGGAGTCTGAAGAGCAGCTAGCCAAAAAAACAAAAGGTAATAGCAATTTTTTTTGAAGTACATCAGAAGCAGGAAGCCAGCTTAACAACCAGAGGAGCCCTTGGATGATCGAGATACAAAAGGAGCACTCAAAGACGATAAGGTCATTGTGGAGAAACTAAATGAATTCTTTGCACAGCTGAGGATGTTAGGGAGATGCCCAAACCTGAGCCATTATTATTAGGTGACACATATGAGGAACTGTCCCAGATTAACACATCATTAGAGGTGGTTTTGGAACAAATTGACAAATTAACAGTCACCGGGACCAGACAGCATTCACTCAAATGTGAAATTTCAGAACTACTAACTGTGATTTGTAACCTATCCTTTAAAACAGCTTCTGTACCAATTGGCTGGAAGATAGCTAATGTGACACCAATTTCCAAAAAGGGCTCAAGAGGTGATCCTGGCAATTACAGACCGGTAAGTCTAATGTAAGTACCAGGAAAACTGGTTGAAACTATAGTAAAGAAAACAATTGTCAGACACATAGATGAACACAATTTATCAGGGAAAAGTCAATATGGTTTCAGTAAAGGGAAACCATGCCTCACCGATCTACTAGAATTCTTTGAGAGGGGTCAACAAGCATGTGGACAAGAGGAATCCAGATATAATGTACTTAGATTTCCAGAAAGCCTTTGACAAGGTCCCTCACCAAAGACTCTTAAGCAAAGTAAGTTGTCATGGAATAAGAGGGAAAGTCCTCTCATGGATTGATAACTGGTTAAAAGTTATCCCAAAAGGTTGTTTAGGAACAAATGGTTGGTTCTCCGAATGGAAAGAGGTAACTAGTGAGGTCCCACCAGGGTCCGTCCTGGGACCAAACCTATTCAACTTATTCATAAATGATCTGGAGATTGGGATAAACAGGGAGGTGGCAACATTTGCAGATGATACCAAACTGCTCAAGAGATTTAAGACCAAAGCAGACTCTGAAGAGTTTCAAAAAGATCTCCCCAAACTAGGTGACTGGGCAACAAAATGGCAGATGAATTTTAATGTTGATAAATGCAAAGTAACGCACATTGGAAAACACAATCCCAACGGTATGCATAAAATGATGGGGAATAAATGAGCCATTACCACTCAAGGAAGAGATCTTGGAGTCATGGTTAACAGTTCTTTGAAAACATCCACTCAGTGTGCGGCAGCAGTCAAGAAAGCGAACAGAACGGTAGGAATAATGTAAAAAAGGATAGAGAATATCTTATTGTCTTTATATGAATCCACAATACGCCCACATCTTGAATACTGCCTGAAGATGTGCTTGTCTCATCTCAAAAACAGTATCTTGACATTGGAAAAAGTTCAAACAACAGCAACAAAAATGATGAGAGGTTTGGAACAGCTGCCAAACGAAAAGAGATTAAGACAATTGGGACTTTTCATCTTAGAAAAGAGGAGACTAAGAGGGGATATGATTGAGGTCTATAAAATCATGATCAGCGTGGAGAAAGTAAATAAGTAAAAGCTCCTGTAACATAAGAACTAAGGGTCACCAAATGACATTAATAGGTAGCAGATTTAAAACAAACACAAGAAAATCAACCTGTGGAACTCCTTGCCAAAGGATGGTATGAAGATCAGGGGTTAAAAAAACAAAAAACTAGATAAATTCATGGAGGATAGGTCCATCAATGGCTATTAGCCAGGATGGGTAAGAATGGTATCCTAACCTCTGTTTGTCAGAAGGTAGAAATGGAGTGACAAGGGAGGGATCATTTGATAATTACCTATTCTGCATTCCCTGTGGGGCACCTGAAGACAGCACACTGGACCAGATGTACCTTTGGTCTAACCCAGTAAGGCTGTTCTTATGTAGATCTGTCAGGGTATTTCAGAGGAGTTTTCTGAGAGCTTTGAAAAGAGCCATCATGTAAATCTGGGGTGGGCAATAACTTCTATGGGGGGCACTCCATTATTTGGTAAGTGGTCAGGAGCTGCACTTCTCCATGATATCAGAGGAGAAGGCGCGGGGTCTGGCCTGGAGGTTGAGTGCAGAAGGAGGTGTGGGGTCTGGGAGAGAATTGTGACCTGGGCTAGGGGATTGGGGTGCAGGGGTTTTGGGTTGTGACCTAGAGCAGCGGTGCAAGGGGGGGCAGAAAGTTAAGAGGAGGGACTGGGGTGCCAGGTGCAGGCTCTGGCCAAGAGGTGCTTACCCAGGGGGACCCTCAAGCAGGCTCTCTGCCTTCTGTGTCCCCGCACACTGCTCAAAGTGGCTGGCTGTGGGGGCCACGCGCTCTGTGCACTGCAAGCCTGTGGGATGCGGGATGGTGGCAGCAGACCCGCTTTCGCCTGCCCCCGCTATAAATGCTGGTCATTTGTTCTCACAGCTGAGCCCTGAGATGCAAGTGATCTGTAGGCAGGTTTGCACTTACCAGCTGACGTCTGTTTCTCTTCCACGTTTCTGCTTTCCTTTTGGAATTCATGTTCTGGAAAGCTAGAGAGGACCAGAGCACACAGGCATCAGTGCTGTTCACTTCTCTTTTCTCTTCCACTTGCGACACAAGATAACGAGCCTTGCTTGGAGTTGTGCCAAGAGGGACAGAGGGCCTCCTAGCTCACCAGCAGCTACCAGAGCCTGCCACTTGGCAGTCTAGGCTGCATTCTGAGCAGTGCAGTTAGAACTAGGGATGTAAGCAATTAGCTCCTCAACTAGTCGCTTCTCCCCCCAACCCTGCTGCCTCTATTAGAGGCAGTGCTGGGCACGGGGGGAGAGCAGGGGCCAGCTTAAAAGCCAGTTCCCTCCAAAACCGTCTCCACAGGGGGCAGGGCATGAGCGGATTCCCAGCTTGTGCCCAGTCTCAGATGCTGCACCTCTGCCTTTTAAATGCGTTAAGAGCCTACTGGCTTTTAACACATTTAAAAGGCAGAGCCACGGCAGGGTTAGCTCCCAGGGCCGGGAGATAGGGGAGCCGCAGTGGGGCTGCTTATCGACCAGTCGATGGAAATTCCATTGACTAGTCGATTAAACTACATTTATCATCCCTAGTCAGAACTCTGGGAGCACTTCCATTACACAGCCATGTTTTAAAAGGTCCTAACTCCCCAAACAAAATGATTGCTTCAAGATCACATCACTCAAAGGACCAGGCTCTGATCTCAGCTGCATCTCTGGACATCTGGAATAAATCCCATGACGCCAACAGAGTCAGCTCAGCATTAAAACCATGTAGAAGAGACAACATTCCAGCCTCCTCTCGCTTCTGTGACATTCCAAACAAACCCAGTCACACATGGGAAACGCTTTTGCTTCTGGAAGGTAAAATAACTATTTCAGCATTTGAGGGCCGTCTAGTCAGGCACAGCTACCTGAAAAGGCTAGACCGGGTCCCTAGGCCGACTGCTTTGTAAAACCTTGTGTCTGCTGGCAGCCATGTCAGCTCTGGTCAGACGTCTGGTATTCACAGCGCAAGCTCTCCGGCTGCAGGGCAACACCAGAACAGGAGGGAAAACAGGCCGCCATTTTCCTGGCACCCATCTCTTCTCTGTGCAGTTAGCTCAGCAGAGAAGTTCTCAGACAGAGCCCTGAAGCTTCCCAACACTGCTCTCCTATCCTGCCTCAGCCATAGTTTGAGGGGACCCTGTAAAGGGTGGAGGGGTGTGCAGTCTCCAGCTCAGACACGCCAAACTCTGCCTGCTACCACAGGGTCAGCAAGTGCTCCTGGGCCCCAGGACCCGGACTGGGTCCCACCCACAGTGGTGTCCATCATTTGCATCACGCCTTGGGATGCAAACCAATAGGCAAGATGGAGCTCGTGGGATGTGCACTCCCAGGAGTTACTGTCTCCACGGTGCGCCACCTAATCTGGAGCGCAGCTCCTATGCCATCTGCCAGGAGTCCTTGCTGACATGCATGCAGCGAGCCTGCCGGGTAGCAGAGCAAGGGTGGGCTCAGGAGACCGGAAGGAATTCCTATGGGACAGAACTTACTGAAGTCGCTAGGAAGACTGTGGTTCAAGTTTCTGTAGAACTCCGTTCGGTGAGCCTTCTTTAGCCCAGTGCAGAGACCAAAGTCGGACAGTTTCACGTGGCCCTAGAGATGCACAGACCCAAAACACAATGTAAGGCCCACACCCAAGAAAAGCGTCATTTACCCACTTATGTCCTCTGACAAAACACTGAGCAGATCTACTGCCTGCCCGAAACGAGGTCTTGAACAAGCCAGTAATGTTCCCAACAAGCATTTACTTCAATGGGAACTGAAGGCCTTTAGCACTTTGCAGGATTAGCCCCATTGTCCATTGGCTTCGTGCCATTCAATAATGAACACCCCAGGTAAGAACAGCCCCTCTCCCCCTCCCCCACCACACACAATTACTTTGGGCAGTTGTTGAACTGGTCTTATCCCCAGTGCAAGGCAGCAATGACTTACAACGCAAAGTTCTTTTCAAGCCTAAAAATATCATATTAAATCCTAAAGGCACATGACACTTGTGATCTGCTCCAATCAGAGCATTTCACTAGTTTTGGAATTAACCGGATTTCAAATGCTTCTTGCCAGCAGATTTCTCACGGATGAGATAAGCAGACAAACAACATTGTATTGAGCACTAGAAAGGAATAGAAATACTCCAGCTTACTGGGACCGAGCGACTACAAACTCATAAGTGAACTGGTATCCTGACCAGTTCCGAGAGAGATTTCGAGAAGAGCTAATGAGACCAGAAGCCCAATGGACCAGCTACACCCCCACACTCGGGGTAAGCATGCAACTGAACAGGCATGTAACCGCATGAAATGTTAGTGGTGACACGACTCTTGGATAGTCCCCAGGGGTGAGGCCGGCAGCCAGTGTGCTCCCAGCCCCCTTCCTGGGGAGGCCCCTGCCCCCCCATGCTGCTGCTTC